TGGAATGACATTGAAATCGAGTGTTTGATTGATAGGTTTTACGTCCGCTTCACTACTAGTTCGGTTATCAAGCAGACGAATACAATCGACGTTCTCGACTTTTTATACTATACTACTGGACTAATCGCACGCGACCTTTCCTGCTAAATTGGCAATGAAATGTCCGTATTCGTTGCCGGGTTTTCATTTGGGTATTAGTTTCGACCCTCCCACACTAAAGAGTTCCGATGTTTGCGAAGTTCGTCTGTCGACATCCCCGGCTTAAATAACCGTTCTACAATGAAATACAAATGAATATGACATGTAACTATGAAGATTCAAGTCTCCGGTAACTATTTATATGATGCGTTTTCTTCTAAAACGTCTTCCCGTGCTGCTTTATCATCCTGGGTCGTGTATGTGTAAATTCAGAACATGCGACTCGTATGGTGCTCCGTTTCTTCGTAGTGTTATCAACGAATCTCATCTGATTCTCTTCAGCATACAATAAATTGACTTCTTATTTCCTAATCATACACATATCCTGTAAATTCGAACATCCGTGGAACGTTAAATTAACCCTTTCCTTGAAAAGCTTAAGTATCTCATGTGATATCCAGGGGCGGATCCAGGATTTCCTAAAAGGGGGGTGCCGAGAAATTTTTCTCAATAGGCCTAGTCAACGGTGTACTGCGAANTGTGTTTTCTAGAACGTCTCAGAAGCGATTTCCCGTGTTCTGAGGATTGTTTTTATGTTTAATTAACAAGAAGAAAAAAACAAATTTTAAGTATGGCCCAAAGACTTTTTTTGTGTACTGGAAAGAAAATTTAAGTTTCGGTTCAAATTCTCTATCAACAGCGTGTTTTAGAAGTCAGATGGTATTATTATAGGGGCAACCTGGTGATGACAAATGTATGAATCCACAGGGGACTTGTTCATTATTACCTAATTTGGCGTCCCGCCCGCAAGGGGGATACGAGAGGTCCACCGTCAAAATATAAATCTAGTCTTCAGACATTGTACGTTTGTCCATCCGTCAACTTTTCCTTTAAAACGCTACTTATCCTGAACGGCCAAGTAGATTTTGACTAAATTTAGTCTGGAGCATCCTTTGGCCGAAGAGACCCAATTTTTGTATAAACAGTGGGTGTGTGCCCCCCCCCCCCCCCCCCCCCGGGGGCAGAGGGGCGGGGCCCAATAGGGGGAAAAGGCAAACCTTTAAAATCCTTTTTCTACGTAGGGATTATAGGATTTTAAATGAATAAAGTCTTGATCACCCTTGGGCCAAAGGGACTAGATATTGTATAAACCGTGGGTGTGGCCACCTGGGGGCAGGGCAGTAGGGCGGGCCCAATGGGGGAAATAGAGCTCCTTTAAAATCCTCCTTCTACCGTAGGGATTATATCTTAATTTAGTCTGGAGTATCCTTGAGCTAAGGGGACACAATTTTGTATAAATGGTCCCCTGGGGGCAGAGGGTTGGGGCCCATTAGGGGAAATAGAGGTAAAACCTTTAAAATCCTGCTTCTACCATAGGGATTAAGGGATTATATCCTAATTTAGTCTGGAGCATTATTGGGCCAAGGGGACTCAATCTCGTATAAATTGTGGGTGTGGCTCCCCTTGGGGCAGAAAGGCGAGGCCCAATAGTTGATATAGAGGTTAAAACCTTTAAAATCCTTCTTCTATCGTAGAGACTAAGGGATTATATCCAAATTTTGTCTACAGCATCATTGGGCCAAGGGGACTCAGTTTTGTATAAATGGTTGGTGTGACCCCCCTGGGGGCAGAGAGGCAGTGCTCAAAAGGGAAAAAGAGGTAAAACCTTTAAAATCCTTCTACTGTAGGGACTAAGGGATTTTATCCATATTTAGTCTGGAGCATTCCTGGGCCAAGGGAACTTAGTTTTGTATAAATGGAGGGTGNCCCCTGGGGGCAGAGGGCGGGGCCCAATAGGGGAAATGGAGGTAAAACCTTTAAATCCTTCTTCTACCGTAGGGATTAAGGGATTTTATCCTAATTTAGTCTGGAGCATCCTTGAGCCAAGGGGACTCACTTTTGTATAAATGGTTGGTGTGCCCCCCCCCCCCTGGGGCCAGAGAGGCAGTGCCCAATAGGGGAAAAAGGCAAACCTTTAAAATCCTTTTTCTACGTAGGGATTATAGGATTTTATCCATATTTAGTCTGGAGCATCCTGGGGCCAAGGGAACTTAGTTTTGTATAAATGATGGGTGTGGCCCCCCTGTGGGCAGAGGGTGGGGCCCAATAGGTGAAATAGAGGTAAAACCTTTAAAATCCTTCTTCTACCATAGGGACTAAGGGATTTTATCCATATTTAGTCTGGAGCATCCTGGGGCCAAGGGGACTCAGTTTTGTATAAATGGTGTGTGTGCCCCCCTCCCCCCTGGGGGCAGAGGGTGGGGCCCAATAAGGGAAATAGAGGCACACTTTAAAAATCATTCTACCATAGGGTATGCACATTTTCATACCCAAAAGTTGCATTTTCCTGTATAAACTATAGTAAACTTCTTCTTAAGACCCTTCCATCCATGATGAGTATTTGATTCTACCATATTTTGGTGTAGAGAAGAAGATTTTTGAAATTTGAACTAATATGACCCTTTTTTGGCCCATCCCCCTATCCCCCCGGCTCCTGGGGAGTGGGGACCATATCATTCACATTTTTTTTGACCATTTACCATGGAGGATTCATGCAAAATTTCATTACAATTGGTTCAGTAGTTTTTGAGGAGAAGTTGAAAATGTAAATTGTTTACAGACATATGGCACCGGACAAAAGGCAATCGCAATAGGTCACGTAAAACCTTGTCTCAGATGACCTTTAAAAACAAGAATTCCACGGAAGTGGATGTGTCTCCTGCGCAGGAAGCTGAGAGATTACGAAGAAATAGATACACTTTTCATTTCAAGAAATAATGTTAAAAGTAAGAAATAATCATAGATTATGTTTTAAGCAATCCCAAGCAAGCACTTTTAGTAAGGAAGCACTGCATGAAGTTTGAGTTTGATCGGCCCAAGGAAACTCAAGTTATCGCACGAAAACAAATTTTCTATTTATAGTAACAGTGACCTTGACCTTTGACCTTCGGACCTGAAAAGCAATCCCAAGCAAGCACTTTTGGTAAGGAAACACTGCATGAAGTTTGAGTTTGATCGGCCCAAGGAAACTCAAGTTATCGCACAAAAACCTCTGTGCGGACGTCGAGGTCGACATAGCAATACCTAGGTGTCACTAGCTTTTCGCAGGCGACACAAAAATATTGAAACACATGCTCAGTCTCATATCAGCTATTTAGGTAATCAGGTCCTTCGATAAAACTATCTGGATCTATTATGTACAAAGATATTAACCGCTAAAGTGATATAATCAGCTTTCTGTTGCAGCGTTGAGATTAGTAGATTAGCTGTATGCATAACCAGATTTCATTTCGGACAATACCTTTCTCCATTGATGTCTCCATCTTCAACAGATTTTCCCAGCATGCATTCCAGTTCAGAAGCCGCAACATTGTTATCTGTTTAACAGCGCTCTTATATAGTACAGTGTTGACTATTTAGTGTGGCAGTTCAACAGTGCATATAGAACTATTTAAGACGGAGCATGCGTTGACAGTACATGGTTTAAGTGTTGTACAGTATACACATGTAATACAACGCTGCACTGACACGTTGTTAAGTGTTGTTTTGTGGTATAAGGTGAAAAAAAGTACAGAATCGTTTCATGTTGTTACACAAATAACTCGCTTAGTCCTTGACAAAGGAACCCTGAGTTGGTCTTGAAATGTTGCGGCACATTGCTTGTGTATAAAGTAAAACTGTGATATTCCATCAACAATACCATATGAATTTAAAAAAAATGAAATATGTGTATCTGTCCGTTCAGTTAATCCACGGAATTAGATACTTAATTTAATAAATACCATTGCGTAGGGGAGATAACCTGAAGTAAAGTACACCTTATGTTCGCAGGTGCATGTACACAACGAAAACGTTTCATCAAAACTTAATTTTAAAACTCTAACGACATTTCTGGTGAAGCACTAAAATAGAGCAGTGCTGTTTGTGATATCTAACTATATGTGGACCCTTTCCATTTGTTAATTATACTGAATTTTCATTGACGCAAAGCAACAAATATGCCAATGACTCTACACCAAGGTTTTCGATTTCTAGAATTTCCTTATAAGAAATTAAGTGTCTCGTAGGGTGGACGGTGGGCTATAAAATACACAAATCTTTTAAAACCTCACTATGTCCGAATTTATTTATGTGAGTAATTTGAATATTATAATTAAGTTTTCCCCATTTTTTCCCCACAGCGTCAGGAGTACAAACCAAATTGTATAATTAGCGACGCTGATTGCAAGCAATCGATTAATGAATTAGGGGTTTCTATGTACCTTCCCTTCTGTTTCAACAGTAGCTAAGATGTATTTAGATTAACGTTTTGGCCCCTATAGAGTCACTGAGTTTATCCCAATAGACTTTTCACGGTTCTACTAATAACGGGATACCTCTGTACATTAAAACTTTCGTTTGATTTGTAAAATAAGGTTTGATAAGGGGTAATGAGCCCGATAGCTTCCCTGTGACATTTTTTATACTATTAAACTAGACATTTTTATACTATTAAACTGGACATTTTTTATACTATTAAACTGGACATTTTATATTCTATTGAACTGGACATTTTTTATACTATTAAACTGGACATTTTTTATACTATTAAATTGGACATTTTTTATACTATTGAAAAGGCTGTTATCGGACTTGGTCATGCTTAACGTAAGAGTAGCATGTGCACTGTCAAACAGGTCTTGTGATGCAGGTGAATTGCTCAGATGGGGACATTATGTGGATAATTTCTGCTGTTTTCCCCAAAATCATTGCCAAATCATGCTTTAGGCTCCTGGGGAAAAGAGGAAGAAATATCACTGTGATGTGACAGACAGACGCTTAATGCCCACTCCACTTTGTGAAGTAAAAGTCTGAAAAGCTGATTGATATTTAACTTTTGTATTTACGAAATAGTATAATACATGATTAAGTACATAGACATTCCAATATCTATGTGTTGCAATGTAAAATGTCTTCAGTATCATATTAAAAATGTTTTGTTTTTTTATACAGATATGTACAAATGAAAATAAAAAAATCACAGATTCCATATATAAAGTGTCCTCATCCTGATAGTTATCTCCCCTAGTTCCTGATAAGCACTGTCGATCTTGTTCCTCCCACATAGGCGGAGCATTACGGCCAGACAAGAAGTCTACGATGGTCTGGAGAATCACCTATAATGCTCTGTAGCAACACTTACACTTTGGCATATGTAGAAAAGTTTTCTTCTACCGAATAAAGATTTTCTGTTCAATTTAGATCACAGATACGAAATAACGTGTTGCTTGATCCACTTTTCTCCAAATCAACGACACAGGATTCTGAAGAAATATTCAACCTGGAAAAGAAGAGAAGAAAATATTAACTGATTTGATATTGAAAATACATATCAGTACTTTTGTGTATAAAATAAAATAAAAACAAGTGTATGTCTACAGGTAACTGGTTGGAGAGTTTTTGATTACCAGATAAATCCTAATAATACACTGTTATGATAGGTATGTTTGAAATACCAATATCAAGACATACATAATGGGCTCATATTCATCATGAAACTATTTTTATACCCAAGCACAATTTTTGTGCTCAAACCAACTCTTTTCTAAACTCGCAGGAATCTTGTGACAAAGTCAAAAAGAAAAGTCCAGACACTGAAAAAGCTATTCCGCTTCAAGTATTAAACGAAAGAATTGTTTAAATAATTTATCATCAAAACAAGTATAATCATTACTATTTAAGCTACAATATTGAATTTCAGTTTGAGTTTAAGAATGTTACAGAACACATCCTTTGAAATCTAAAAAAGCCATGTATTTGTGAAAATTCATATTAACCTTTAATGGTGTTGCTTTCTTAAAGTTCGAAAAATATTTTTTTGATTAGATCATTATTCATTGATAAATGTTACTACTGCACATTGAATAAATGCTAAGAAAAAATCCATTTTAGAACTAGTTTTTAACTTGGATTTTTCTCTTCTCTGTATAGTGATTTAGAAATTGAATGTGAAGAAGTTTTTCTTGGTAGAGTTACTTCCCTTGCCAAGACATTTCATTTTTGTACTAAGCATTTTACAATGTATGGATAGTTTGGTTTGGTTTTCTTTTGTTTAACGTCCTATCAACAGCTTAGGTCATTTAAGGACGTGCCTCCGTGTATGTTGTGGATGCTTGCATGCGTGTATGTGTGCTGGAGACAGGGTATATTGGTGTACTTGCAACATTGGTTAAGTGAAGGTTTTTTTCGTTGATAAGTCCCGAGTTGGACCCCGAAAATTCTACTTTTCTTTTGTTTCTTTTTTCATTCCAATAACTCAAAATTCGAACAACTCTAAATCTGCAAAATGCAACGTCAAATGTGTTTTATATAGAATCAATCTGTTGAAAATGATAAAAAATATATTTGTATCAAAACCCCTACTATTAATGTATTTTTACTAGATATGACCTTTCCTTCACTTTAGTGGTAGAGGTGGTGTCATCATAATTTGATATTCCCTAAATGTATTATATAGAGAATAATATATGCCTTTTTCCATATCACACCCAGTATCAACCCGATATTGGTCGAGGGTTGATACTGGGTGTGATATGGAAAAAAGCATGCTTTATTCTGTTTATTACATACTTACTTATAAAAGCTACTATCTTATGATATATTTTTCTTTTGAAATATTGAAAAACGAAAAATTTCCAAAAGGGGTGTGATACAGGTTTTTCGGCTGATATGGGTTTTACGGGCTGATACAAGTTTTGGGGTGTGATACGGCGGGGGCTGATAAGAGCAATTGTGTCGTATCGCATATACAAAAAATCTGTATTTATTAGTAAGTATGTAATAAAAGTCTGTAATGTAAAGAGTAAGTTGAATGGGCTGTATCATTAGGCCCATAATGTCAAACTAAAAGAAGAGTGTATTTGTTCTGTTTATAGATCTATGCCCCTGGTTTGGGGTAAACATTCTTCAAACAGGGGTGTTTATAGAAGGAATGCCATTTCAAAGATTGGAATAGTTCATTATGAAATTTCAGGGGTGACTAAGTTAAAAATTAAATGAATAAACAAAGACCACATATCTCTCATCATTACATGGACGGGGCCATACAAATACATGAACTTTTGAGTTGAAGTTTTCCTTTCTAACATTATTTTTCAATTGAAAAGATTGAAAAAGAAGGAGCACAGGTGAATAGAAGAACTACAGTATCTCACTAATAAACATGCTATACAGTACCTCTAACTGCCCATCCTCTGGTAAGTCTGTACAGTGGACGGCATTCTGTATCTTGTCGATTCCAAACTTCGCTCTCAATGTTCTGGATCTTAGGTGGCGGGCTATTTCCTGTTGACATATAACAGACATTGTTTAACAGGACCAAGGGAAAAAAACCTGCATGACAATGAATCAATCCACAAAGTCAATCTCTAACAGTGAATTAATTCGTTCAACCCTCAAGACACATTTAAACTCTTCCAATTCAAAGGTTGGAATAGTTCATTATGAAATTTCAGGGGTGAATAAGTTAATAATCTTAAAGCTCTGTTGGGCTCCTTCCCTTTCAATTTATCATACAGTGAACTCTGTCTCAGTGAACTCTGTCTTATTGGACCTCTAAGTATTCCGATAGATAGTATAATACAACATTATAATACAACATGATGTCGCAATCCTATTTTTTATGAACATTATTAGATGAGGCCTGTGTACTTCACCATCCTTTCTAATATGAGCAATATGTTGTAACCCATAGGTTGTCGGATTAAGCAGGTTTCACATATGTATTTGATCAAAGATTTTAATAAAGGATTTCTTCTTGCAAAAACACAGAGACTTACACCAACATAAACAGCTCTGGTATTGGTTAGTTCAGTTTTTGAAGATTGAATAAAATAAATTTCTTTAAAAACTTTGGGTACAATATATTAAATTGTTGCTGCAAGTCACAATAGAATCATTACCAGAAGATATTATGTGTAAAGGTCATGAATGCTGTGGGATCAGAGTCATTTTGACCCTATTCATCCTGCTACTCCTAACATAGGTTCAGGGTAAGAAGCTAACATTTAGGTGATGTAGATTGTCCCACGAACATTATTCCATTCAGGATACGAACACTCTAATGCCGCAAATATTAGAGCAAATTTATATTGAGATCACCAAGATCTACAAATTTAGAAGAAATTAGTATGTTAGTGAATTGCATTCCTATTGGTATGAAGATTGAAAAAATGTCATTAAACTGTATTTATAACGGGAGATCAAATGGCAATTTCTCCTAAAACAGGGACTTAAAAAGGGACTCACAGGGTCGGCTGGGCCAACCATGTCCCTGAAGGCTTTGGGTGCATCCTTGGCGCGAATCTCTAGTGTAATACAAGGCCCGGAGGTCAGCTCGTTCACCATGGCGCCGTACTCCTGGACGACACCCTTGTATACTTCGTAGAATTCCTCCGCGTTGGCCTTCTCCATATGGAACACCTGTAGCATGGAAATCTCAAAGCCAGCGTCCATTATCTGGCTGATAATATCACCCGCCGCACCTGTAACACAATGTAGGTAACAGTATAGACTTAGAATTTAAGATTATAGATGCTGTAATCACAGACCATATATACAATGTATCTGAGATATATACAATTGTTAATAATTTAATTGTCTTTGCTGAATTTTTTATCGACCAAACTTTGGCCATTCAATATGTCTTATGATAAAGGAAGTAAAGCAATTTTACCAAATAATTCTTCCTGAATTGGAATACATGTATACATTACATTTACCACAGCGTCATTTACTTCATAGGAAATATCTCGGTCTCGGAGACAAATGTGGTGTATTTTTGAAATATCCTTCTTCTATAGGTTTATCACTAGCTTGGAGGACTAACCTGACTGGACTGAAGTATCTACATTCTGACCACCTCTAGGTTTATCACTAGCTTGGAGGACTAACCTGACTTGACAGGTATCTACATTCTGATCACCTCTAGGTTTATCACTAGCTTGGAGGACTTACCTGACTTGACAGAGGTATCTACATTCTGACCACCTCTAGGTTTGTCACTAGCTTAGAACACTTACCTGACTTGACAGCATGTGGCTTGATCACACAGCATGTGCACTCTGAGAATTTCGCTGTGTTTCGTCGTGCAGGAGTGTCGTTTGAAGGGAAGAAAAACTCGAGTTCTCTTGCTGCTGCACCAATGCTGTCTGAGCCGTGACAGGCGTTCTGTATACTGTCTGTAACAGAGTAATTATATACAGTAAGGGGCTTGTTGTCAGAGGTGTACCCTGTATGACTCTATATTGACATCAAGTTACCACGAAACACAGAGACTCTGTCACACATCTGTAACACATTTTCTTTCATGTGCAGCAAAATATCGCTCAGTTGCTACCATATTTCCAGCAATGTTTCGTTATCATAAAGGGAGTATAGGGCTTTCATATGATGGTCTTAACATTTGAAGGATTAAAACATTTGTCAAATACAAATGTTCTTTCGAGCTCAAGATTCAGAGCTTATTTTAGGTAGACAAAAATTCAATCTCGATGATAAACTGCAGTTTGTGAAACACCACAGAAGACTAAGGAAAATTGGAAAATTGGGAACATGTAAGATATTGGTAATGACTGAAGTTGCTAAAGAAATAAGGAGTGTTATATAGAGATTTTACTCCATATGATAACCAATCCTTTCTTTCAGTACACATTTAAAAATTAATGTTTAGACAGAAATTTAATAACCATATATGGTAAATGATACTAATATACTAAATAGAATCCAAAAGAATAATTTAATTGATGGAAAGTCTTGATTTTGATTCTATTCAAGCAATATTAAAATACAGAACTAAGATTTTTATTTATCAGATAAGGGAATAAAGGCTCAATTCCAGTGAATGTGGATAAAATTCAACAGCAGTTGTATAACACATTATCAATGGATGTATTTACCTACTATTAAGGAGTATTTACATACAACAGGGGTCCAATTGACTCACCTTTCCCAAACCTGGCCCTGATGGAGTTTGGTGCATTCTGTCTGGCTGCAGCTGGGTCAGTGGGTCCGAGGAGGTCGGTCCACTGTGAGACGCAGTCTGAGCCCATCAACTCTATAGCTATGACCGGACCACTTGTTATGTAGGTCAAAAGAGTGCTGTAAGGAAAAAGGTCAATTACAGAACTAGAGTACTGTAAGGCCAGAGGTCAACAGAGTACTGTAAGGCCAGGGGTCAACAGAGTACTGTAAGGCCAGAGGTCAACAGAGTACTGTAAGGACAGTGGTCAACAGATGACTGTAAGGACAGAGGTCAACAGAGTACTGTAAGGCCAGAGGTCAACAGAGTACTGTAAGGCCAGAGGTCAACAGAGTACTGTAAGGCCAGAGGTCAACAGATTACTGTAAGGACAGAGGTCAACAGAGTACTGTAAGGACAGAGGTCAACAGAGTACTGTAAGGACAGAGGTCAACAGAGTACTGTAAGGACAGAGGTCAACAGAGTACTGTAAGGACAGAGGTCAACAGAGTACTGTAAGGACAGAGGTCAACAGAGTACTGTAAGGACAGAGGTCAACAGAGTACTGTAAGGACAGAGGTCAACAGAGTACTGTAAGGACAGAGGTCAACAGAGTACTGTAAGGACAGAGGTCAACAGAGTACTGTAAGGACAGAGGTCAACAGAGTACTGTAAGGACAGAGGTTAACAGAGTACTGTAAGGACAGAGGTTAACAGAGTACTGCAAGGACAGAGGTCAACAGAGTACTGTAAGGACAGAGGTTAACAGAGTACTGTAAGGACATAGGTCAACAGAGTGCTGTAAGGACAAAGGTCAACAGATCTACAGTACTGTAAGGACAGGTCAACAGAGTACTGCAAGGACAAAAGTCAACAGAGTACTGTAAGGACAAAGGTCAACAGAGTACTGTAAGGACAGAGGTCAACAGAGTACTGTAAGGACAGAAGAAGTTAATTAACTGCCACCATAATAACATAATCTTACTGACATCTTTCAAATGATGTAGAAATGATACCNCCCCCCCCCCCCCCCCAGTTATTTTATTTAACAAATTGAAAGAAATGGTGGTCAAAATCCCACTTATCTTGACTGGACAGACCTAAACAAAACTGCCATGAACAGGAACTTACTCAAAGTGTGTTTTTCCTTGGTGTTCCTTGTAGAATTCCATGGCTTCATGGCGACTCAGCTGACACATCTTCATGTTGGCGACCAGAAAACCGTTCTTGAAGAGAACGTCCAGAACCTGTCCCATCTTTGGTACAGCATCTGGTTTGATTAAACCTAGTGTCCTGGAAACGAAAGAAATATAACAGATTTTCCTTTTTTTTTAAATATATAGTGGTGACACTTTCGAATTGAATTAAAAAGAATCACAATCAAATTTTGTATCTCTAACCTGAATACTTACAAAGAGTAACAGGTGTTTTTGTGAAGTAAAACCTTGATACTAGACATTGTGGTAACAAACACCTCATATCCTTTGTCACCCCACTCTAATGACCATGTATTTTAAGATCCTTTTTTTACTGTTTTCTGACAATGCCTTCATTCGTTCAATATAATTCCAACTTTTTATACTGTCAACTTTTAATGGACAAAGAGGCAGAACAGAACATGTAGAGCAAGGTTTCCTAAAGTAAACATTATATAATTCATAACATACTGGGGTATATATGCTGCAGGTACAGTAAATGCCTTTTTAATTAACTGGAATGCGTCATTCTCTTACTCTGCACTTTTACTGGTGTGAGATTTCCTTGTCTCACCCTAGGGTTGAGACGGGGGGATTCCCCTATTCATAACAATGGTATGACGTCACTTCAACAATACAATGATGTCACGTCAACAATCCATCAACGACACGTCAACCCTGAATTTAGCATGTGACGTTGTCACTACATTGTGTATATGATACACATTGGAAGAACAGGGTAAGAAAAAAAGAATCATTCACCCCCTTGTGGGTAAGATAAAGGAATCTAAACCCTCGGGTTGACATTCCCCTATCTCAACCCCTTGGGGGTGAGAGATTCTATTAATCTAGCCGTCAGTCCATTTAAAATCCAAAAAGGTTCACAGGTGTGTACAGACGTTTGCTGTGTTACCACTGATACAAATGCAGACCTCTCGGAATGTGTATAGGGCCATCAGGTTTTTCCCAGTTAATTAATCGGAACAGCTTTGGTCCTGCCAGTTGTGACTGCATGATGAAATGTGAAGGCCCGAGTTCTTTCTATGAAATGTGAAGGCCCGAGTCCTTTCTATGAAATGTGAAGGCTTGAGTCCTTTCTATGAAATGTGTCATATCATCCTCAATACTCCAGGGGTTACACTGCTAAATACACTCACAAGCAAAATTGAAGGCATTTGACTGGTTTCAAATGCAAAAAAACAACCTGACCAATTGCAAGGCTGATACCTGGCCTTTCAAGATTACAGAGGGGTAACACCTGATTTCAAAGACAATCAATTTTACCATTACACAATCGACAGATTCTTTTGGTGAACATCAAAAGATCAAACTAGTCTTCCAGATGTAGTCTCATCCATATAAGGTAAAGCACACTGAGCCTTCAATTTTGCTATGATATATTCCAGGGGTGCAGAGTGCAAAAGTGAGCGTAACCCCTGGAGTATCAAGGATGTAGTCATACTGGAGTATCGAGGATGTAGTCATACTGGAGTATCGACGATGTAGTCATCCTGGAGTATTGAGGATGTAGTCATTCTGGAGTATTGAGGATGTAGTCATACTGGAGTATCGACGATGTAGTCATACTGGAGTATTGGGGATGTAGTCATACTGGAGTATTGAGCATGTAGTCGTACTGGAGTATCGGGGATGAAGTCATACTGGAGTATCGGGGATGTCGTCATACTGGAGTATCGGGGATGTCGTCATACTGGAGTATCGGGGATGTAGCCATACTGGAGTATTGAGTATGTAGTCGTACTGGAGTATCGGGGATGAAGTCATACTGGAGTATCGGGGATGTAGTCATACTGGAGTATTGAGTATGTAGTCGTACTGGAGTATCGGGGATGTAGTCATACTGGAGTATCGGGGATGTAGTCATACTGGAGTATTGAGGATGTAGTCATACTGGAGTATCGAGGATGTAGTCATACTGGAGTATTGAGGATGTAGTCATACTTGTTGTGCTTACCTTTCCTTTTTGTTGGCCAGTCTCCTCCTTGTGAACTCATCACCATAGTCTACAAAAGTCAGCTGTCTGGAGAAAACGTTGAGAGTGTTCTTGATGTAGAGGTCTTCCAGTCGCAGATCCTCCATCTTGGTTCTTTTCAGGAACACTCTTTGGTTTTTAACATCAAACTGAAAGTAAAACATGAATTCTTTGATAAGGTTGTGGATTTAAACATGTAGTCATACATGTGTGTTGATGTAAAATGTCTTGGTTGTACAGTGTTCATAAACTGACTTAGGTAGCAGTCTACAGGGTTGTGGCCTTGGGTGATATTTTTGTGAAATGGCTAACCCCTGTATTATGATATGTAAAAAAAATATAAAAATAAAACTGTACTAAAATTGGTATAAGCATGATGAAGTGGGCTATGTGAGCTTCACATTTGTAAAAAAAAAAAAAAAGTTTTGGTTAGAGATAAAAATTTTGGCCATAGTCTGAAAGGGTGCCTACACATGAAAAGCTAGCTTTACAGGAGGTAAAGTTTTGACAACAGCACACGACGCAAAATTACTAGTTGCGGGGGTCAAATTTTAGGTCAAAAATAGATTTTTTGGGCATTTTTGGGTAATTTTTGATGTGGTAACCATGGTTTTCACACAAGTGACATACATAGAAAAAAGAGGTTTATACACTTCTCAGTACTTTATATGTATTGTAAATGTAATGCAGTTTACAAATATATATACATGTATGTATGTGTTATGTTTACATTTCCTCGGCTTGTGTCTTGTTTTTCAGAGTCGGGCCATTTCTACTGTAGATCAAAAGACTGCTACCTTACAATCTATTTTATATTACCGTACCACAAGTAAGCCCCAACCCCTATATGATTATATAATGATAAACAAAATCTTAGTTTCTGCTTGCCCTAGCTATCCTATTCCAGTCTAGTCTTTTTTCACTAGATTTAAATAGGCATTGAAAAAGTCTGAATATGTAAAACTTTCTAAAAGCATTTTTTGTTCTTAAATAAGGTTTATTTATATATTACAACAATTATGAAACAAGTTAAATATTAACTTATATTTATCAGTCTTGGCCTGAATGGTAGCACACAGGAGGTCTTTATGTGGGAGGAAACCAGAGAACCTGAAGAAAACCCAAGCTGTCAGGCAGTTGATCCCCTACCTTTCAATGTCCGATCAGGGAATCTAACCCCAGCAGTCACGTTGAAGCGGAAGTGCGCTATCCACAGTACCACCCACCAGAATTAGAATTAGAATTTAAACACCTTCACAAATTATCAATCTGCCATGTTTATAACTCTATCACACATCAGTTTGATTTAACCTCAAATAACTATATAAAACAACAGAGCAGTCTAATTGTAATTCTTACCATCTCTACGGTTTTGTCCTTTACGTAGTACATAAACTGGTATCTACGTTTCAAGGCAGCATGTATATCGTACCATTCTGCAATGAAGCAGTACCTGTCTTCACAACCTTCACTCTGCAAACGAAAAAGTATGACAGTTATCTGTTCATGAACAATCCTTTTGGTATTTACAATCAATGTATACAGTACTTGGAAAAACTGGTATAATACATATAAACAGGAATGTAATATTGGAATACATAGACAGCTGTGCTATAATATGTATAAAGCCAATGTTTTGTATTACATTATATCCTGAATGATAATAACATGTATCCTTGAAGCAATTAGTCTTCAGTGATATGGCATAAAAATATTTACTTGTGAAGAATTAAAAAAAATCTCGAAGCTTTCTAAAAACTCACATGGATGGAAACATACATATGGGTTCTTCATGTCAGAGGAAACAGGAGTATCGGAAAACCTACTTTATTTGCAGGTGACCCTATAATTTTCACATTTCATTTTCCATATCACTTACTGCTAATAATTACGGCCTATAAAGTTTAATGGATCTCCCTTTTTCTTTCCTAAACCATTCCTTTATATGAATATGCCTTCCTAAAAGGAATGCCACATTCTTTTATAAGGCCAAACACTTCGCTGATCAAATAGTAGCTGTATAACCAGGCTTTACTGTGTTTCACACCTCAGCTAGCTAGGTCTCTGTGCATGCTACTTCATGTTTAAATTTTGCTGATAGGACTATTATTTGAACAGAACATTTTAATCTGGTTATGATACATCACGTGAATACAGATTGATTGTTAAGATGAATAACTTGATGAATAACGTGATGCAAATGACAATTGTGGTCCTAAATTAGAAACCAATAGGTTGTTTTTGAACCATGTCAGGGTGACAGTGATTAAATTATGATATTGATTCAAATTCCATAAGCAAATACAACCGCATAAATGAGATTATATTCAAACGAAAGTAATATGAGGGGTTATACGTATGTATCTACATGAAATAAATATCATCTAGAAATTGATCTTACCATGTTGGTTTCGTTCAATGGTGGAATTCACAGGTAATATCATTCAAAGCAACCTCCACATCAATACCTGAAGTTGTTGTTGGCAACAAGTCTGTTCAACAGCGGACGTAACAAATGTTTTGATTGGCTAATCGGTTCAACTTCCTTTCCATATCAAAACGAGGCCAGAAAGCAGGAAGTGAGAGTCAAGAGTTCGGTAAGAATCTTACTTATTTATGTTTCCGTTATATTTACATGTTTTATGTCAGTTTCATAGAATCTAACATCGTTCCTGTGACAACCAATTTTCTATCTCATTGTCGTGCTTTGGCCGCAACACAATGAACGCATTGTCAAAGGAAACAAACAGGACTCAAAATTATCGTCTTTATTTTTTTTTTAGCCTCCTCCGGGATCCCCCATCCCCCTTCTCCTCTTCTCCCCCTTCTCCTCCAAACCAAAGGTGTTTGTGTTTGAAGTGATTGATTGATTGATTTACCGGTTTTTCGCCTACATGATTCCATCCATGCGGGTTTCATCTCACGGACGGAAGCCGGTGTTCTGTCGGCGTTTTGAAGTATATTATTGTTTGAAGTAGTGATGATACCCTTATTGTGTTATATGATTTTTATTTCAATTTACAGTCATAATTTCAAACTTTTGTGTCCAAGCCTGGTCCAATATCTCGGCTAATCTTGCCAATCCAAATTTACTTCAACAATGTTAGAGGTTTATATGTATACGGCAAGATACTTTTGACAGGCGCCGTCGCAATCGGCAAAATCATATCTGATAAAAAGAAGGCCGACCATGGCCAGCGGCCTCTTATATTATAGGAGTAATCCAAATTGTGACATTATAATCGCGCGCGATATGCCTATGGTCTGACAGTGAGTGTGACATTGCATGGCCGGTGATTTTTTTGCTTAGCCTACTACATAATCTGATAAATCTAGACAGTATATATAACCTGATCACTGTTCTTGGTTTACATTTGACAGGGAGGTGGTCATGATAAAGTTTGGAACTAGAGAGTAGCAGAACTTGCCGGCAACCAGGTAGCTCAATTATAGCCTTTTATTGTCTAAAGTTTGGAGGTCCATGGTTCGAATCATGTTCTGGCTGTTGCTTAAACTTATTTGTTTCCTTTCTTAGTACATTTAACAATTTAGCCTCCAAATAAAATACCCACAGAAAACAGGAAAGCTATATAGGTCCTGTGTGTCTTCAGGGGCTGAACACTTTGTTGAAGGAAGGAATGTATCATTACTGGACTGAGTCAATCATCTTTGACCTGGCCATGGTAGCACAATAGCTAGGTTACAGCGTTCGTCTAGAGCTTGGAGGTTGAGGTTCGATTCTTAGTCTGGTCAGTACTTGTTTCTTTTTTCTAGTATGAGTTTGGAGTATTATTTTATATTGTTCTTAATTTAACACATTAGCCCTAACTTATCATCCGACCAATCTCAACAAAACTCCATGTTTAGATTAAATGGCCAACACACTATAGAGGCTAGTCATCTTGATAGTTATTAGAAATAATGTGATGTAGTGACAATTAGATTCTAATATATCAAACTTAAATTCATTAGGGGTTGTTCTGTGTACTTGCGATTGATCGCCATGAAAGACTGCAGTTAAAAGGGCCAAGATATTGAAAACGATGTTTGTATCATCTCCTTGGAATCTGACGTATCAATAGAAACTGCTTTATATAATTACCTATCACAAACAAAAACAAACAAACAAAAACAGGTATAAAATGATTATACTGTACACATACAGACTTGCCAACTCTCCCTATTTGGGAGGGAGAGTCCCGATTTTAATTTAGACCCTTCAGTTTAGTATTAACATCCAGTGAATTTGCTAAACCATTTCGATTTTCTGATATCCGATGATATATAATATTAAAGGGTTACTTTTTCTCTGTTCATTGGGTATAAAGACAGACATTTTATTTATGGTTTAATTTTACAAAATCTTCACTATTGGAATTTCAAAAAGTTGGCAAGTATGCACCTGTTATATGATAAAATAAGATGATAATGATCTTGAGTCATTGGTGATAATGTATGCCACTTGTGTTAAGAGTTACCTGCCTTGAACTACTAAGTTGCATGTGAATCAATAATAAACTTGTCATCATTTTTTTTATATTGAAAGACATGTTTTATTGAGTATATATAATTCCTAGATAAATCTCACAGTAACATTAAATGTTATATCTTGATATGGTTGACTGTATATGGCAGTTAATATAGATGTATTTTAATAAAAAAAAAAAAAAATCTTTTAAGAGTCTCCAAAAATTTGTTTCAGTACTTGGTCACACTGTCAAGCAGTCTGCGACGTTAGGCACTAGTCCGATGCCCACGACTAGTAAATTTAAGTCTGGACTAGTATTGAAAATATTTAACTAGTCCGATTGGACTAGTGGCAATTTTCCCCCAAAATAATGGAAATATTATTAATTGTATACATTTTGCATAATAAAGCTTGTCACAAGTTTTAATCCTATTGTAAAATACGGTATTCGTCGAAGCGTTCGAAATTGAAGCGTTTCGATTTGCCAGACTGGGTTCCGGATTTTAGTAGTTATCGAACATTACTTCCGGTTTATAACCACGTGAAACCAACCATGGCGATGTTGTTAAGCTGGAGGAAATGTTCAAATCCAGCTAAGCCTGTCCGTGAACATCTACAGAAAAAGATGCTAGCTAGCTATCACGAAAGCAAAATTATGAAAAGAATCGCATAAGGTCCATAAGGCCGGAGTGGAAGAAAAACAGAACTTGGTTAGAATTTGACAACGAGTGTAAGCAAATGTTTTGTAGTTACACAGATTTATTTTGTTTTGATTTCTAATAATTTTCCAACTTAGATCACAATTTACACTTCATGCTGTAAAAAGACCAGTCTGTCATTTGGACTAGCAAATTCATTGTTGGACTATTAAAATTCTGGGTTCACTAGTCCAAATGACTAGCGAGGAAAAAAGTTAACGTCACAGACTGCTGTCAAGGAAAGTATCAATATCTGTTAAGACCCAGCCATGAATCCCAGAAATGTGATGACTAATCCTGTTTCCTTCTATATGTGAACTGATCACACAATTGGCATTATTTGTGTAGACATTCTAACTTTGTCATCCACTATATACTGTAGACAATAATAGAACTATATAGGTACAGCTTGAGGCTACAGCATTCCTCTCGCTGTGACAGATTCCCAGTACTTAGCGACAATGTATATATATGTAGGCAATGGCACATGTAGAGCTTAAACAGTGACAGGACTCACTGAAGCGTTTAACAGGACACAATATTATCTGCACTTTTTACACCTGACTTGTTCCTACAGAGATATAACACATATAAGTACAGCGTGTAACACACATGCCATATGTACATGTTAGCCAGTGGTCAGGCCTCTGGGCCGGGGCTCAGTCACACATATATAGATATATACTATTTTATATTCCTATGATTGTAGTATGGATACAACTCACTGGACAAGTACCTCTTTGTACAGCAATATAGGCCAAATAGAGAAAATATGTTGGTTTGTCTGGAGTTGAGAGGCTACCATTTTGGTTTTCCAATCAGTCCCAAAATTTGATATGCATTCCTACATGTAGGGACCATGGGGAACTTTCAAGTGAAATTTGAGAAACATCCCTTCTGTAATTTCTGAGAAAATAACGCTCACAAAAATTGTTTAAGTGTGATCAGGTGACGTACCGATGACAGACCACCAGCAAGCATGATTTTAATAGCCCACAATCATCAGATTGTGAACTAAAATAACTGTATAGTGTAGTTTCTGAGAAATAGCACTAACAAAAATTGTTTAAGTGTGGTGACGTACAGATGACAGACCACCAGCAAGCATGACCATCATCAGATTGTGAACTAAAAAAACTGTAGTGTAGTTTCTGAGAAATAGCACTAACAAAAATTGTTTAAGGGATATGCAACATCAGATGATGAACTAAAAAAACTAACTGTCTGAAAATATTATCCATTGATGCCAGTGCAGACATTTTGTAGCCCTGTCCCCTTGTAAATTATAGGTTCTATAGTTTCTAGCTATTTCATATACAATGTATAACAAAATACAGTATCACTTTTTATAGGCCCAAAACATCTCTATATATGCTTTTTCTATGTGTGCACACACTAATTGTTCTTTTCAAGTGAATTAGGATATTAAGCAAATTAAGATATTAAGTACTGTTAAAGTCTGAAATGCAGCCATTGTAAAAATAATTTTGCAAAAGAAAAAAGGTTTTGTCTACCAACCATTAACCATCCTGGTCTCTTATAGAAAGAGAGCCATTTCAGAAATGAACCTATTGATATTTTATCTGGCCTTAAAAATATTGATTTGCAATTATGAATAGACAATTCAACTATTCAGTGACCTATATAAAATCAGGAGTGTTTTCGGATATTGCCAGCTGTGAACTGTTTAAGTAACAATTTAGGAAAAACAACCTGGTAGTGTATGAATATGGTCCCAGTACCAAATTTAGAACATGTGAAATAAACTATTTCTACATACGTATGTAAACCACATCTCATTAATTATATAACATACAGATCTAGGGGTCACACGCTAAGGTATAAGTCGGCTTTAATCACATATCATCATCACCTCACCTGAGATTTACCTGTAATAATAACAGATCAGTGGGGTGATGTTGTAGAGATGTGGGTCACACTCGAGAATGTCAATGTAAGCATCACTGCTGGGGATCCACAACGTCGCCACACCATTGTCAGGAGTCAGGGGGGTGTACATTTATTATACTCAATCTATGTCCTGCTGACGCAAGGGGGTAATTATATAAATGGCCCTTTTGAGATTTAAAAAGTCATAGGCCCGTCCAGGTCACACCCCGAGGTCGTACAGCTCCTCAGATGCGGAAAGGCGGTCACAGCGGCTCCAGTCAACGGATCTATGTCTATGTATGGCCCCAGCCGTTGTCCTCCTATGCCGGCATTTTTAATAACCTTGCTTTTATTTAATAAATTAAAGCTCCTGCCACTAGCACTGACATGAAGTCTTTTAGCTCCATGTGTGATGTGATGTAAACAGGCTTAGCAGAATTGTAGGCCTCTTGGTTACAGTATTTGAGCACCTCTTAATAAATTCTCTACAAAATTTGCATTGAAAACCATCATAGCCAAATTTGACATTAGTCCAGACGTTTGTTTTGCATCCGATACAATCATGAAGGAAGATACATAATATAAGGTCTTATTCTTTTCCCAAACCTCAAAGATATTGCTAGGAGAGAAAGAAATTGTTTTATTCTCTTTTAGGAGATGAGATATTGTTTGAAACTAAAACAACAAAATTATTATTGTTTTCATATTATCGTTCTCTCAAACAAATTTCAAAGCTATAAATTGTATCATTTTAATCTATTTTATAAAAAAATTCATTATGATACACTTAGCTATGTATAAACACACAAATAAGTGATTGGCTTTGTAAGTCCTTTACTGGCAAAGCATGCTCTTTATTATAGCTCTAAAACTTGAATCATTTTGTTTTTGTGAAAGATTAGTTTTTGCATTAAATCTAAGAGGAACTCATTTGCATTTTTGAGTGGTCGGGTGGCACAGTAAATAGCGCACTTGCCTTTCGTCAAGGCGGCCAGGGTTCAATTCCCCGGTCAAACGTGAAAAGGTATGGGGTCTGACCTGCCTGATCATATGGGTTTTCTCCGGGTACTCTTGTTTCCTCCCACATTAAGACCCCCGCACGCTTATATCCGAGCCAAAAAGAGTGATTAATAAAAATTGTAAAAACTTGTTTCATAATTGTTGTAAAATAAATAAAGTTTATTTATTTACTCTCATTTGCAAATTTGTATTGTGATATATCTTATAATTCCATTATGGGGCTAGGATGTAATTCTAACAGTGTAGATGTTGTCAAATTTCCATAGCAGTCCGCTCCTTTATCGATCGTGAGGCACAGAATTATTATAATTCCATTACAGGTATATATAGTTGTAATTTTCAAAACTAGTATTCTATCAATTTCAAATTAAGTTATTTGCAAATATAAACTACAGGCATATATATTAGGTTGGGAAAATAAATCACCCTTGATCTGCAGTAAATACCGTTTCCATCTGTCAGCCAGTATTGTACACGTTCTGTGTCCCAGAGAGTGGTATGATCCTCTAGCCAGCTATATAGCCTGTAGCTATGTATAGGTGTAGGAGTCCTTATAGGCATCTACAGTGTATTGTCTGTGGGATGTGATTGTCACAAGGAAATAACGGTGAACCTCTGATCAGGGATATACAACATATGTTTGGGGGAAAATAACGGTGTACCTCTGATCAGAGATATACGACGTATGTTTGGAGAAAACTGACCACACGACTCTTCCATGAGTGAAACATTTGGGAAAAATTTCTGCTATTTGTGAGTTTACTTTCTAATTAGATTTTTGAACTTTTTCAACTAAAATAATTTCTGTTGATTATATGTTGAACATGTTACTGTTATGGAAACTTGCATTGAATTTGGTTTACAAACCTTTTTTAACATGGCAGTCTGTTAGTGATAGTATAAGGTACTCATGTAGGTCAGTATTATAAGCCTTTCATCAAGTATGTGTTGTGTGTAATAATAATCAAATATGTGCCCTATGATAAAAAAAATGTAATACTTTGTCTCCCAAACCATTACACTTCATTATGATATTATTTTGTCCTTGCTAACCCTTGTAACTATCACCGGTCGATTTGTGTTACCACTAGATATATATAGGGTCTTAATTGTTATTTGGGACCCTAGCTAGGTCACTTGGGAATAAAGTTACAAATGATGACACATTATGTCAGTTCCACTTTCTTTATTTAAGTCCAACTTCATATCTTATACATGGAAACTTAATTGTTCAATCCATTCCCTTCTGTTTCCATCTCCATTCTTTCTCCTTTAGTTCTCTTCAGTCTCACTTCCCAAGATTTCTCTGTAATTCTACCTCTGTCTATCTCTGACTCTGTCCTTGGACTCTCTCCTTCAGCTCTATCCTTCTACTCTCTCCGTCTACTCTGTCAACCTTAGATCTCTACCTATTATAAAGACAATCAAACACTACTTTTACTTAACTAAATCTTCTAATTCTATTGGCTAATTCCATCCCTAGGAGGCGGGGCTACATTTCTCTTTTAGAAGTCTTTTGATGACCCTTCCCCTGTCTAAGGACCACGATTAACTTATCAATGCATTATGGACCTACATCCACACACCATTGTCCTCCAACCCTTCACAGACATTCCCACACACTCTATTCCCTTTGAGTTCCTACCACCATGTGTGTCCTGGTCATCTCCTTTGTTATCAATTACAATCTCTTTTTAATTGCCTTCTTCTTACTCTTCTGATCTTACTCACTACCATTTTTCATCTGTCATATAACCGTATGCTGGGAAATGTTCTTGTCTAGTTTAACTATTGTTTTTTCATCCTTCCTTACGCGGGGAATTTGTCAGGATAAATTAAAATAGCAGTTCACAACATTCCAAAATATAACTGGACGAATATGATTTTTACCAGAGAATTTAGGGCAAATATTTGACTGAATTTCCCAGTATATAGTGTATAAAACACCACGATATAGATTGAATATATCTTTACTTATATATTATCCACATGGTGTGTGTACATTGGTAAAATTAATTGTATATACATGAGAAAACATGAAATCTTAAATCTATACGCATTATTCTGTTGACTGGTTTGGTATTGTATATATCAGCATACATACATGTTGGTGTATTAATTTAATATATATATAAATATATACACGAAGTAGATACTGTAATATGGATAGATCTGGCTACAGCTGCTGAGAATGCACTGATGATGAAATAATTCGGTTGTTGTGTTAGTGCTTGAATTGCATGTTTTAAGAGTAAGGTGATGCATAATATATATATTGTTATCATATATACAAACATAAATGTTTTGCCATGATTTAAAAAAAAAATGGTTAAAATTTGATGTTGGGATGACATCTGTATCAACACCAACACTGTCCAAAAACTGGTGATATGAAAAAGAATGTACACATCCCCTTCGGTTCGTCAACCAAACAATATTGTTAGATCCTTTTAGTATCTCACTGACTTAATATATATATATGATATAATCTGTTCATACACTGGAGTAATATATCATATCTAGTATAATTATATAGATGAGTGCTGTTACATGGTATCCAGCCATCTGCTCAAATCAATATATATATATATATATATACTATATATCAGGTAGTTTGAAAAGTTTCTAACTTTTGCTTTATTCGTATGTACATTACATTTGATGGAGTTGCAAAAAATAAATGCAAAGTTTTGGTTATTTACTGTCATGACATCAATGTACAGTATACCCCATACTTACAAGAAGTACCTGTTAGCATTAGTATTGGAATACAAATTTGGAATTTCAAATGGAAAATTTAGATTTTGAATTTATTTGCAATATTTCTTTCACGCATATAACTAACCTGGTATACAGTATATACATTTTGTATAATACAGTTCTTCCATCTAGTCAGAGTTTTCAGGTGACTGAAAAAACTGATCATCTTGAATTTGCCCCAACTAGTAGTCCAGCAACCTTTTATCTATATAAAGGGAACATATTAACTGAAGGTAACAGGATTTCTAAACCCTGTCTTAGTAAATTGAACACAATTTTTTTTCTTTGTTTCAGAAACTGTAAAACAGGCATGGCGTCTACGTATACACTGCCAACTGGGGACAAACTGCTACCTAAACCACGGGTACAGATTGAGTCCTCCACAACGTCCAACACCAACCCTCCACTGCGGACAAAACGGGTGGTCAGGACCCCATCTCAGACCAGTCTGGATAGTAAGGGGACAGTTTTACTGCGACAAGCAATGCCAAAATACAGTTTTCAAACCAAAAAGCCCACAGCTGTAGTGGTGTCAACGCCGAGCCTCCCCAATCCAGAGCTGGTGAACCAGAGTAAAGAGAAGGTGGAACCAACCAGTACGGCTGCACCTAACTCCAGACCGGTCAGTAAGGTAGATCCTCTACCTGGGGCTGCTGTCACTGCTGGCCCGACATCGATACAGACCGCCAGTAACGTAAATCGTAACATGCCCCTGATGACAAAGTTCCCATCCCTTGAGTGTTTACCCTTCCCTGACCCCCTGGGGAGTCAGATAGTCTCCTTACAAAACCAAAACGGGGAATTACAAGACGAAAATGAAAGACTGAAGAAAGAAATGGAGAATATGAAAAGACAACTGGATGTGCAGTTTCAAGTATGTATTTATATAATATACCTACATGTATGTATAGGTATATGAGATTTGTACATGTGTTTTGTTTCGGAGTATGTTTATCAGTATTTAATTCTTCGGCTATATACATGATATGTACAATATGAATATATGTGGAAGATGTATAATTAAAAACAACTTTTCTTTTCAAAAACATGCAAAAGCCTTGTTCTAATGAATTAAGGGGAAGTTGCATTTTCAGCTCTGTTCAAGGATTGATATTTTATATATATGGTAATTGTGGTGCTGGGGCCGGGGAACAATGGCCTGAGTCCAACACCAAAACACATTTAACAACACCTGCCAGTAACAGTCCCTGTCCTGCAAACACAGAGCTGTATAACAATACAAGTATACATGTGATACAGCTACACTGTCTAGTTACAGGGACACTGTCTAGTTACAGCTACACTGTCTAGTTATATTAGAGGGTCTAACATTACTATATATGTATAAATAAAAGACAAGAGTTTCTTTAACTTCCCTAGCACTTTCTTCTCTTGAGAGGTTCATCAGAGGAATGCTTTAGTCACGTTGACAGGACAACAACACAACACAGTTGTTGTCCTGTCAACGTGACTAAATCATTCCTATGAACCCCTGAAGAGAAGAAAGCGCTAGGGAAGTTATAGAAACTATTGTCTTTTTTTTCTTCATATTTAACCATCACAAGGACTTTAAATGTTTTTCTGATTATATGTATATATTTTCCTTCGCAAGGACTTATTTTATATTATCTACTAGGTATATATATATAGTTGTGATTTGTTTGGTCTTCAGGTGAATTCGGAGCTGAAGAAACTACTGGTGGCGTCCGTGGGAGACGACTTACAGTTTAGAGTGGAAAACCTTGCCAGGTACAGTGCAAGCATGCTGATGTATGCAGTAAAACTTTGTATAAAGTAAAAGAGTTTTCGACTTGGATGAATGTATCAAAGGAGACTTAATATTATGCTGAATAGGAAAGGAAGACAAGGACATGAATGGTTATAAATGTCCCTTTCTCAAATTTCATATGTAGGTTCCTTTTGGTCCAGACTTGTGCATATTTTATTTTGAGGAAAAATATTAAAACACTCATGTAAATAGGACTTGCCTGGGGGTCTAGTTCCACCTTGGAGACTTACTCTATGGGCCATAACATGGAAACCTTTGTGGTCTCATCCTAAAAACATATATACAATTTGCTAGGCATGAAGAAATGAATACTTTTAACTTGCTACATTGTACTAGGATTAGCCCTTTGGGATCTGGCCTAATTTCTGGGGACTTGCATAACATTGAAACAGTTGAGATCCCCACCCCACTGCCATATAATATAAAACTTAATGTAAAATTCCAGGTGAGCTAATATGGCCCCTATAGGTGTCTTGTTTTTAAGTTCCTACTTCACTCATTAATGTACATATTATTCATACTTTTTAGAGACAGAGCCCAGCTTTCTACCGAGATCGGAACATTTGCCAAAAGGCGTACGGAGGACTACGAACACATAGACAAAGTGTCCATACAAGCTGACATGTGGAGGAGCAAGTTCCTTGCCAGCAGGTATCATCCTATCAGGGTTGTCACAATATAGTAAATTATCACAGGTATCATTTTACCAGGGTTGTCTCAATACAGTAAAGTATTACAGGTATCAGGGTTGTCACCATATAGTAAAGTATCACAGGTATCAGGGTTGTCACAATATAGTAAAGTATCACAGGTATCATCCTATCAGGGTTGTCACAATATAGTAAAGTATCACAGGTATCAGGGTTGTCATAGTATAGTAAAGTATCACAGGTATCATCCTATCAGGGTTGTCACAGTATAGTAAAGTATCACAGGTATCAGGGTTGTCACAATATAGTAAAGTATCACAGGTATCATCCTATCAGGGTTGTCACAATATAGTAAAGTATCACAGGTATCAGGGTTGTCACAATATAGTAAAGTATCACAGGTATCATCCTATCAGGGTTGTCACAGTATAGTAAAGTATCACAGGTATCAGGGTTGTCACAATATAGTAAAGTATCACAGGTATCATCCTATCAGGGTTGTCACAATATAGTAAAGTATCACAGGTATCAGGGTTGTCATAGTATAGTAAAGTATCACAGGTATCATCCTATCAGGGTTGTCACAGTATAGTAAAGTATCACAGGTATCGGGGTTGTCACAATATAGTAAAGTATCACAGGTATCATCCTATCAGGGTTGTCACAATATCACAGGTATCATCCTATCAGGGTTGTCACAGTATAGTAAATGATCACAGGTATCATTTTACCAAGATTGTCTCAATACAGTTAATTATCACCATTATCTAGGGAATATTTGAAAGAGATTACAAAAATTAGGTTATATGCTCATAATCTAAATATAGAAAAAAATATTGAGCGTAGTTTTAGAGTGTGTGTGTGTGGGGGGGGCAAAATTTTGGCTGGGCGAGTGTTTCCCAGTATACGTATGCAGTAACCATTTATCTTTTGTGATGTAACAAGAAATTTAACTGGTCCATCTATATACCGGCTTTAAAAACACTTTATATACTGTCAGAGTGTACACAGTACGCGACTTGTGATGTGGTGTCAAACATACCTAACTTTGGGGTTTCTTAGAATGATTTTGGATGTCAGATGCTGTGAAAATCAGATTTAGGGATACAATTCCTGTATTTTGAGATTTGTTATCGTTGGTATTATCCTTATATTATGAATCGTTTAGATTTATCATTTACAATGCCACTTTAACCTCTGACCTTTGGTTACCAGGGTGATGATTGATGAGCTGGCCTCATCCAAAGCCTACCTGTCTATAGTGTGTCAGGAGTCGCAAAGCGCTCTCCAACAGATGTTAACTGAACGCCACGAGATACGCTCAAACCTGATGGAAACCTATAAGTGAGTGGTGTTAATTGTCGTTACAATGCTTCCTTTAATTTCTCCAGCGTACAGCAGGGGTCGACATTAACGCTAGTCCTGGACTAATAGATTTCAGCAAGGACTAGTAAATTACCTAACCTACCTGGTCCTTTGGACTGGTGAAAAATATTATTATTAAATCAGAAAATTCCTCTTTAAAATTTAGAAAATTGCTTAAAATAAGATGTAATGCAAGGTAATTGTCAAAATTTTCCCCAAATTGCAATGTTTAATTAAGGAAATATTGGACTAGTTACATTGCCGAAGGACTAGTAAATAATCTATTCAACAAGTCCTGTTGACTACCGAGAAAAACGTTTAGTGTCTAACCCTGTACAGAATGTTCATATACAAATAACACATCTGTATAATTTATGAATCTTGTATAAAATGGAAATTGATTTAATATAAGACTGTTTGTATTACATTACCAAGAAAGTGTTTTCACCTACTATTTGCTGTCTAATCTGACATCAAAGTACATAAGGGTGTTATTACTGAGGTTATATATCAGAAATCTGACTTCGGTGTGTTTCGTTGCAGAAAGTGGTAATTGAAAAATACAATGTTTAAGTTCAAGTATACTTTATATTGTACAAATGCATGCTTGTTCTGTCAGAACTGGGTTTTTTCCTAGAACAGTTTTCATAACCATTAACCCTTTCACCACTGTAGACCATAATGGACTCATCCAGATCAATGCATGGTAGAGTCTACTAAAGTTACATAGGGTTGAATGGGTTAAGTAACATGTAGTTCAGTATCATGTACTAGTATGGTAGTTATGCCCTCAAATGATGGGTGCTTATAGCCTATAGGACCATTTTTTAACCTGTTCATTTCTGGACCTCGGCTCAGCATTGCACTACCTAAGATTAATCCTTAAGTTATCTCCCTTTGTCCTGGTAACAACCAAGATGCACCCAGATATATTATGAATGAAGCTGTCTTGTGGCATATGGTGATGATACTAGAACTTAATGAAGTCAGAGGGACAATGTATATGATGTTGTAGCAGAAAAAGAACTATAACCCTTTCACCCCTATATAACTTTAGTAGACTCTACCATGCATTGATATTGATGAGTCCATTATGGTCTACAGTGGTGAAAGGGATAATATCTCTATTTAGACTTATCAGATTGTCATCTTCTATAAATATTGACAGCAAATCTGCTTGAAATATGGAAGAAAAAAACAAAAATTCTTCAAATAGGGCTTATTATTTGAAAAATGACTTGATATCCCTGTTGTCAATTTAGGATTATTCGTATAAACTGAATTCTCAACATTTTTTGGGGGAAATCTGTGTCATAGATCATTAACCTTGACCTAATTATCGTCTATGTCACAGGATACTCCAGCAGGTAAGGTCAGCATTTGACCCCCTGAACTCCCAGAAGTCAATGGGTGTGGCCTCTACCAACAGCCTTGACCTTGCTCGTGTGAACCAGCGACTGACGGAGGCCATCCGATATAGACTGCTGCCCAGTCATGTTGCTCTGGACTCTGTTGTCAACATTGACCAGTGGACGGACAGCCTCACTCTGGCTGAGTCACGTGCAAATGAGGTTTGTATGCAAAACAAGCCCTGTGGGCCTTTTGTTGAAATAAAACAGAGATGAAGATATCTGCTAAGAACAGGTTATAACTTAATGGTGTGAACCAGCCTCAAAGTCTTAAATAGCCGAATATAATTATAAAAATATTTGACTGAAAGTATTATTATGACATAGATTTGTTTTATTGCTTCAACAACGTTTGAGGAGCCTTTTCCTTTGATGCGACAGGTTTGTCAACTTTTATGTCCTTGAAGGCTTGAAGGTCAATGTTGAAGCTCATCTGAAAACAGCATCATTTGGAATGTGGTGTTTGACTTGTATACAATGTAGCACTGTTAGTCAAGGGAAATAACTCTTGTAGTCTTAAAGAAATTACCTATTTTTAAAGCCAAGGTAATTAACAGGGACCTCATTAGGATGTTAAAGCATGGTTCATTCTGAAAAAATATTACTCAAGAAATTATCATTGAAATGAAGTGTCCATTAAAGGATGTTCAACGTAAAGATAATATGTGTTGATTAGCATTGACAGAAACAATACTAACATCAATAGTGTCATACTTTCTGTTATCTATCACTCGAGGCTAGACAGAAACAATACTAACATCAGTAGTGTCATAGTTTCTGTTACCTATCACTCGAGGCTAGACAGAAACGATACTAACATCAGTAGTGTCATACTTTCTGTTACCGATCACTCGAGGCTAGACAGAAACAATACTTACATCAGGAGTGTCATACTTTCGGTTACCTATCACTCGAGGCTAAACAGAAACAATACTAACATCAGTAGTGTCATACTTCCGGTTACCTATCACTCGAGGCTAGACAGAAACAATACTTACATCAGGAGTGTCATACTTTCGGTTACCTATCACTCGAGGCTAAACAGAAACAATACTAACATCAGTAGTGTCATACCTTCTGTTACCTATCACTCGAGGCTAGACAGAAACGATACTAACATCAGTAGTGTCATACTTTCTGTTACCTATCACTCGAGTCTAGACAGAAACAATACTAACATCAGTAGTGTCATGCTTTCTGTTATCTATCCCTCGAGGCTAGACAGAAACAATACTAACATCAATAGTGTCATACTTTCGGTTACCTATCACTCGAGGCTAAACAGAAACAATACTAACATCAGTAGTGTCATACTTCCGGTTACCTATCACTCGAGGCTAGACAGAAACAATACTTACATCAGTAGTGTCATACTTTAGGTTACCTATCACTCGAGGCTAGACAGAAACAATACTAACATCAGTAGCGTCATACTTTCAGTTACCTATCACTCGAGGCTAGACAGAAACAATACTAACATCAGTAGTGTCCTACTTTCGGTTACTGATCACTCGAGGCTAGAAGAAACTTTCTGATATTTGTGATGTTGATTTACAGTTACTGTCCAAGAAGATTGACCCAGAAGACGTTCAAAAACAAATGTCCATCGCTCTCCGTGACCCGTCCATCAACGTGATTGATCGCTTCCATCCCTTCACCCGCTTCGACAACCTCACTCTGAATTGTTGTGTCCAGTGTCAGGGCGAGATGTTTGCTATATAACAACACGGAATCTTTGTTTCAAAAGTGGAAATTTTATGATGTGGATGTTTCCAGTAGTTTCTCAGAAAATATGCGATGTTAATAAGCACACACAAACATACTGGCCACAAAATGGCCACCAGCATTACCATAGATACAAATGACAGCATTGTGAACGATTTTAAGAGTCAAAGCATGGAAAAAATTTCAACTTCAACAGTGTTCTCAGTTGGGGATTCATAGAATAGTTGTTTATGTGATATACAGTTTTATGTTACAGTATAAAACTGATGATCTGGATACAGATCAGGAGGAGAAGGGCTCATCTTTTACGCTGTATTAATGGGCTAATGCATGCTCCAGAGAATTTAACAATGTAATACTAAGGATAATGTCTTTATGGCCTGATCGCCCAGACTTTTTTTTTCAATATCCAAGTTCTGTCTATGGTATAAAAAAAAATGAGTGACTAGGAATAGCATGTCCGTGTCGTCCAAGTTGTGTAGGAACCAAGTTGTCCTCTAATGACCCAAACTGTGTATGACCACCTTACTATATCCTCCGTGTCCTTAGATATACATGTGGTGCCTCACTGGGCCATCAACACAATGCTTGAAGCAACCTGTAAGTGCCTCACTTGGCCATCAACACAATGCTTGAAGCAACCTGCAAGTGTTGCACTTGGCCATCAACACAATGCTTGAATCAACCTGCAAGTGTCACACTGGGCCATCAACACAATGCTTGAAGCAACCTGTAAGTGCCTCAATGGGCCATCAACACAATGCTTGAAGCAACCTGTAAGTGCCACACTGGGCCATCAAAACAATGCTTGAAGCAACCTGTAAGTGTCACACTGGGCCATCAACACAATGCTTGAAGCAACCTGTAAGGGCCACACTGGGCCATCAAAACAAGGCTTGAAGCAACCTGTAAGTGCCTCACTGGGCCACCAACCCAATGCTTTAAGCAACCTGTAAGTGCCACACTGGGCCATCAACACAATGCTTGAAGCAATCACAGGTATCATAAAGGATCTCAACTTTGAGAATGTCATCAGTTCTCAAAATCAGTTTTGGGTTGGGGATCAAATAGTGGGATACTTTGTCCAATATGTTGTGATAGAAACAACATCCTAGCTTAGAACAGCTTAAATCTTGATAGACCGTGCCTGGCCTTACAATGGTATGTCATCTGATCTATAAGGCTCAATAATAGATTTACCTCATGAATTTCAGAATTATACATAATAAAATGTTCTTAGTTACATCTTATTTTCAGAAGAGTTTTACATGAAGAAACATTTAGAAATTCATAAAGGAATGTTACGACATAAAAGATAATGCTCCCAGGCAAGTATAAAATATTAAGGTAGATAACTCTAGAGCAAATGATTTCTCTTCTTTTATTGGTATATCACTGTTCTCAGAGTGTAAATAAATAAACTCTTATCAATACTCAGCACCACCTTACCCATCTGGTTCATCATACATCATTACAAAGCAAACTGAATAACAAACTCCATCCATGCCTGAAATGTTTACCTCACCTAAAACCCCTATCCACCAAGAAACATGTCGCAGGCGACAATCCTTCCATCAAGCTCATCCCACCTCCTGAGGCTAAACATCTTTTTGCTTTAATTTGAATTCCAACTTTTAGAAATTATTATTGAGTTCATTTCCTTGTTTTAATTTTTCCAAGATCTGAGGAACTTGGTCACCAGTAGTTTTCAGACCCAGTTCCCTCCCCTTCATGTGAAGTAGCAACATTAACATTTGTTTAAGAAGAATATATATATAGAGAATAATACATGCCTTTTTCCATATCACACCCAATATCAACCCGAGACTGCAATATCAGCCCAAGGGCCAAAGGCCCAAGCTGATATTGGTCGAGGGCTGATACTGGGTGTGATATGGAAAAGGGCATGTTTTATTCTGTTTATTACATACTTACTAATAAAATCTACCATCTTATGATCTATTTTTTTTTTGAAATATTGAAAAATGAAAAATTTCCAAAAGGGGTGTGATGCAGGTTTTGCGGGCTGATACAGGTTTTGGGGTGTGATACGGCGGGGGCTGATACAGCTTTTGGGGTGTGATACGGCTAGGGCTGATATGGGTAAGAGCAGTTGTGTCGTATCGCTTATACAAAAAACCTGTATTTATTAGTAAGTATGTAATAAATACTAATACATGTACAGAATTATGACTATGTCGGTATGAGATACCATGTGTACTATACTACTCATGGTCTGTTTATATATTGGACTGGTAAGCGTAGGGTTGGTGAATTTACAAATGTAGGTATCAGTTTTAATGAAATGAATTTACAATGTAGATTATATAGAGCAGATTTAGGTGTTCAAATATATGTAGGGAAAGTATCTAAATCACCAGGAGGTAGGGTTACCTGTGTTACAATGGAGGGAGAAAATACAATAAAACAAGACATGGATTCAAACCAGGACCACCAAACTCTTAGACAGGTGTTTTAGCCGAGGAACTTGGTCACCAGTAGTTTTCAGACCCAGTTCCCTCCCCTTCATGTGAAGTAGCAACATTAACAGTTTTTTAAGAAGAATATATATATATATATACTAATCCACAGCATTATGACTATGCCAGTATGAGACAAGTCCATTTTAGAAATCAAATATATACTATGGTTCATTGTGCAATATCAGTTTTACCTGAGGTATTTTTTAACCAGAATTGTCATGTTGACGCCATACCTTTAGGTCGTCTGAGCCGAAGGTTTAAGTGACCCATTGCAGTCTCTTTTCATCCAGCGTCGTTCTGTGTCCGTAGATTTTTTACATTATTGATTTTTTTCTTAAGAGCTGGTGAATGGAAAAGGAACGAAAAATAAGTAAATGTCAAATAATGTAATTTTACATGCAATGCTGAAATAGCCTATTTAGATATTTCTTTTTTATTATTATTTTTGTGATATGACAAGTTACATATATGTTTCTTTGCATATATGATTTTTGCCAGTTCACATCTCAACCATAAAAAATAGCTTTATTACAAAACAGGTGACCATCTTTGGGCCTCTTGTTATACATACATTTTTGTGTTCATGCTAATGTCTTCATAGATGATTATAATTAGATGACCCTGACAGACAGTACTAGTTAAGGTCACATTCCACACACTTGGCGGTGTAAGATCTGAATTGTTAAAATAACATGTTGGGGCACAGGGGCTAGACATATGCTTTGTCAATGAAAGTGATATTAATTATTGTATATGAAGGTACATTGTCAGGCCCCTGTGCTTTGTATTAAGTGATATGTAAATAAATATTTTTTGTGATGGTGATGTAAGTTAAGAAAATATAGGCATGTAAATAGAAATATATTTTTGTATGCAATATAATGATTGTGCCATTTTATGAAGCAGACCCAGTTGTGATGTATACACGTAACAGAATGTAGATACACGTACTGTATTCGACCTAAAAACCACCCTGGGCATTTCAAAATTGTGAAAAATTTGAATGATATTTTGTACAACTTTGTAAAATTCTTGAAAATTTGTCTTAGTGGACACAGTGTTTCTGAAAATGCCCATAAATTGTGATTAGGGAATTGGGTGTTCTGTTTTGAAAACAGATAGAGCTCTTCGTAATTCCTGGGGTATTATCTGCACCCTTGAACATGTCATGGAAAAAACCAAAGTCACTGTACACATTTGAGGATGATACAAGTAGACTACTATTTTTTCGCAGCGTAAAATTGACCAGTGGTCATTTAGGTGTCACTCCTCTGTAATCTTCAGCCTATTGATTGGTCAGATTTAAAAAAAAACTGAAACCAGTTAAGTATCTAACCGTGTCCCTGTCACTGTGTGATTTTGTCAGGACATATTCAAGGGATACAGAAAATGTCCGAGAGCATATTCCGTGGAATTTCCTCCGGGACGGGGATTGGATAGTTAGTACATTGTAGGTGAATACAGTAGGGACTTAAATTTTGATTTTTTTCTTTGAATTATTCACACCTATAGCTTCATGTCAAGTCATCAAGACCACATGGGATGAAATTTCTTTGTGGTTTGTTAATTGTGATATGTCCAGGAGAGCTTGTTCCTCAGAAAGTAAGGCAAAATAATTATCAAGTGTTAATCAGGAGTAATTGATTTGTGTATGTAGCTACAGGGTGCCTCGCCTACTTGAATTGTTTTCTCAGTTTGTGAATGTGATGGAAATGACCTTAACATTTTTAGCCTCATTTTATTTCAGTTGCAGTTATTCCAGAAATAGCACAGACATTATAAATGTCATAGTTAAAATCGTCTGTCTGGACTAGTAAAAACACCCCCTGTCAACAATTATTACCACAAGGAGTTTCTTGATTATTACGAGGGACTTTGCAGCAATATGAGGATGAGATGATAATTAAATGTCAAAAGTGTTTGGATATTTCTTACACAAACTTTGGTAGACTGAAGTGCTCATTTCCAGATACTTGTTTTCAGATAGGGGTTTTATTGTGTGTAAATCATTGTGTTTATAAATACAAATGTTCAGACTGTTATAAGTATATGAACAAGGAATTAAGATTACTTTAAAAGAATTGAATTGTTACCTAGAATCGATCCTGCTGTTTGTAATATGACAGTATTTCTCATCTGAAGGAGTGAATTCCTTCTGCTGTAAATAGTATCTTCAATGTAATCATTCCTCACAACAGAACGTACTTAATCATTCACCCCTGAAATTTCATAATGAACTTTTCCAACCTTTGAATTGGAAGAGTTTAACTGTGTCTTCAGGGGTGAATGGGTCAAACATCTCTTTCATTGGTTGTACATATATTATACTTTCATTGACCTGGCATGTTGTAATGCATTTATTTAGGGACCACTTCATTTAAAACTCACATATTTCATCTTTGCCTATTAACTATCATTTTTTTTTCTTGAATTGCAAGAAACCAGAAAAATGTTCAAAGAGTGATTGATTAATTATCCAAATATTGATAATGAGTCAGTTTTCGTTTTTTGGGGGGATTTTCACTCCTGAATTAATTAATGACCAAGTTTTCCTACAAAATTGAGAGAATACAAATGAAAATCAATATTCACTTGTCAGAAAACGTGTTACTCTTAGTAAAGTGCACAGTACTGTATTACTGGCTTTAGTTAAAATAAAGAATTCAATATTCATTTTTTAGAGAGGAAAGGTGTTTTGGAAAAACAGCTACTTAATGAAATTTCAGTTGTAATTCTCTTTGTATAAACAGTTGTAAGTATGCATATATCAACATAAATTTGTGAGAGAAAAAAACATTGCTGGATAATGTTTTTGATATGGAGAACAAAGGAATGCATTGAGAATAAATCTATATACATGTTTGTTTCTGAGGATACTCAGCTTCTGTGATATAAATGTTAGAATGTTAAGAAAACACAGATATCTTTTATCATGTTATTCAATATGATTATACTGCAGTTTGTGTTCATACCATGTAAAACTTTGTTCGTCATTGTGGTTGGGCAAATAAAGAATTCAGGAATAATGAGGTATTCTTGTGATTTTTTTTATTATGATAACTGATTAGTTAATATCAGTTGGTGCAAAAAAATAAGTTTAGAGTCATTTACTGTCGAAATACAAGACAAGACAAGACAAGACAAGATTTTATTCTTTTAAACCACAATATACATGTGATATTAAGAAAATATACAATGGGTACATTCAAGATAGAGTACGTGCTGTTTTAACCAGGAGAACGGACTCTCTCTACTACTATATAAATATATTTGCATATTTTAACTAGTAAAAATTTGTTATTTGTTGAAAAAAGTTGCTGGAATTTTAAACAGTTTGGAGAGGTATACAGAGGTATACTTTCCTCCTCCATATCCTTGGAATATCTCTTGAGAGCAAGGCACGCGGTTAGCTAATTAATGACCAATAAATAGACTGGTACCCGTCCTTTGAAGATTACAGAGGAGAGACAGTCG